CCTGGGACCCGCGGACCCTCAGAAACTCAGGCCGGCCACGCGGGGAGATGCGGGGCCAACCCACCCGCGGGGGCAGACACCCAGCCTGGTGATGATCTCCGCTCCCCACACACCCAGAGCCAGAGACACGCAGGGCACAGACCCCCCAGACACCCCGACACTGAGACCAGGCGGGTCCGAGAGGCTCAGGAGCACACGGCCACCAGGCACAAATGCAGACACATGCACCGAACCTCACGGGGACTTTAAACCTCCAACACTGGAAAACCTGAAACTCAGGCCCAGCCAAGCCTTGAGCCTGGGGCCGTTGGCAGCCTCAGACCTGAGACACAAGCTAAGAGGAGGCTCATGAATAACGGCAAAGATGCACATACACACTCCTAACAGCCTTCCGCTTCACAACCCTGTGTGAGCCCCAGCGGTGACTCCCGTCCCACCCCGTACCCCACACAGCTCTGCCACTCAATTCGATCAACTGACTTTTCCAAAATGTCTCCATGGTGAGAAAGGGGACCCCTGAAAGGCCACCCGCCCAGCCCTGGAGGAGCTGTCCTTCTGCGGAAGAAAGAGCCAGACACAGATGCACCCAGCACTGTGGGCTCGGGGCTGGGACAGAGGAAGGGCCAGGGTCCGGGGAGGCCTCAAAGAAGGGCTGGGGAGGGTTCTGCCTGGAGCGTGGGTTCCTTATTTCTTCATTCATTAATTCAGCAGGTAGGTCTAAAGCTCCTGCTCTGTCTGGCTGTGTTCCGGAGGCCGGGTGCACCTTTTACCTCCAGAGAGGACTTCCCAGAGAAGGATCCAGTGGGGCTCAGCCTGCATGAACTGAAGGAATGACGTCCCAGCCGAGGGACAGTCCTACATCCGGAGAAGGGGGCAGAGTCCTGAGGGAGAATGGGCAGGCCCGGGTGGCTGGCCATGAGGAGGAGACAGAGGTCAGGCTAGCCCCCTGCTATCTGGCTTGGTGATGAGGCTGCAGGGAGGAGGAATGGGTTGAGGGTGAGGTGTCAATCTGAGGAGCTTGAGGACCACCCAAAAGGCAGCTGAACGTCGGGGCTGAGCATACAGGAGTCCTGACATGGGCACCCCCGAGATCGTTGGGCAATTTTAAGACTTTTTCTTTTGTTTTTTAAAAAATTAATTTGAGAGAGAAAGAAAGGAAGGGAGAAGGAGAGAGAGAGGGAGAGAGCAAGAGAAACATGGATGAGAGAGAAACATTCACCAGCCAGCTCCTGCATATCCCCTACTGGAGATCAAGCCCACAACCTGGGCATGTGTCCAGGATCAAACCGGTGACCACTTGGTGCGTGGGACCATATTCAACCAATTGAGCCAGCCTAAAACTTTTTCTTTTACAATATTTTTAAATGCACAATAATACAATGCCCATATGCCCTTGGTCCATATTTACCCACACTTTGCCACATTTGCCTTATAATTACATATATACTCCCTAAGAGCAAGGGCACTCTCTTATCTAAACACAGCACAGTTTCCCCCTCAGCCCATATCCAAAGTTTTCTGTTGCCCCAACAATGTCTCTGTAGCATGTGTCTTTGCTGGTCCAGGATCTAATCTCTGATGATGTGTTGCATTTAATTGTTGTTTCTTTTCTTTTTTTCCTTTTTACTGATTTTAGAGAGGAAGGGAGAGGAAGAGAGAGAGAAACATCAATGATGAGAGAGAATCGCTGATCGGCTGCCCCCTACATGCCTCCTACTGGGGATCTAGCCCGCAACCCAGGCATATGCCCTGACCGGGAATCCAACAGTGACCTCCTGGTTCATAGGTCAACACTCAACCAGAGCCACACTAGCCGGGTTGTTTCTTGTTGTCCTTTCATCTGAATTGGTTCCTCAGCCTTTCTGTGTCGTTCACAACGTTGACATTTCTGGAGAGTCGAGGTCAGTTGTTTCACAGATTCGCTAGGCCTTCTGGTTCCCCTGGACCAGGGTCAGGGTGTGTGTCTGGCAGCATGGCTGGTCCTCCCCAGTGCATCGGTGCATCGTCTCAGGAGGCACCTGACACGAGTTCCCGGCAGTGCTGGCGTTAAACTTTGACCACTTGAGTGAAGTTGGCAATTTTCCTTATTGTAAAAGTACCATTTTCTCCCTATCCCCCTCCCCCATAATAAATAAATTTCAATATCGGATGGGGAGATACTTTGAGACTGTATGAATATCCTGGTGCCCATCAAACTTCCATTCACTGTTTGGCAGTTGTTAATAATTTCCTCTGGTGATTTTTTTTTTAATTGAAGCAAAATTTGCATAACATAAAGTTAACCATTATCTTTTTTTTTAAATATATTTTATTGATTTTTTACAGAGCGGAAGGGAGAGGGATAGAGAGTTAGAAACATCGATGAGAGTCAATATCAGATGGGGAGATACTTTGAGACTGTGTGAATATCCTGGTACCCATCAAACTTTCATTCACTGTTTTTGGCAGTTGTTAATAATTTCCTCTGGCGATTTTTTTTAATTGAAGCAAAATTTGCATAACATAAAATTAACCACTTATCTTTTTATTAATTTTTTTCAAATTATATCTTTATTAATTTCAGAGAGAGAGAGAAAGAGAGAAACATTAATGATGAGAGAATCATTGATTGGCTGCCTCCTGCACGCCCCCCACTGGGGATGGTGCCCACAACCTGGGCATGTGCCCTGACTGGGAATTGAACCGGGACCTCCTGGTGAACCAGGCCAGGCAACACCAGTTTCCTTTTTAAAGTGTGTAGTTCAGTGGCATTTAGTGCAACCATCACCTCTATCTTGTTCCAAAACATTTCCATCACCCCTAAAGGAGACCCCATATCTATTGGCAGTTGCTCCCCATTCCACCTCCCCCAGCCCCTGGCAACCCCGCATCTGCTCTCTGTCCCTATGACGTTGCCTGTTCTGGACATTTCATCTAATGGAATCATAAACCATGTGGCCTTTGTGTCTGGCTCCTTTCACTCAGCATCATGTTTTCAAGGTTCATTCACATTGTAGTATATGTCAATGCTTCAGTCCCTCTTATGGCTGAGTAATATTACACTAAATGGCTACACCACAGATTGCTTATTCATTCATCCACTAATACTCTGGATGGTTTTTAAACACAGGAAGAGGAAGATGTGAAGAAGGCAGAGAAGTACCATTAGACAGAAAGGAGAAGCATGAAAAGCCAAGGGTGAATGTTGAATGACTAACCCGAGCCTGGCATCAGAGATGACCCACAACCCCATTATCTGAGTGGGGGGGTATATGCCCATCTTATGGTGACTTGCTGGAGGCTTCTAGAGGAAGCGCTGAGATTGGAACCCAGGTCTGAGTGACTCCAGGCCACACAGACAGTGAGGGATTGGGAACTGGGAAGAGAAAAAGACTAAAGTTACACAAGAAGGGGCACAGTGTGACTCACAAGGAGTGTGCTGAGTCAATAGGCCCATGGGCCAGGCCCAGCTTGAGTCCTCCCCATGCCTATCACCCCAGGAGAAAACCTAAGTCCCCCACCCTGTGGATGGGGGCCTGGCCTTCTCTGGCCCGTCCTGCCCCCCCTTATCATTAGACTGAGCCAAACTTCACCCTCACCCAGCAGGACTTGTACTCTCCTGGCCTTTGCCCTCGGCCTGGGATCCCCGTTGGACAAGGGACCCTTTTGCTTCCTTCCTAAGCAGGAACTCACAGGAAATGTGTTCTCTTTGAAAACGCATTTTCTTCTGGTTATATAAGGCCTGCTCTACTATTTCCCACACATGCCACCCCTTGGCCTATTCTGGTCCCTCTTTCTAGCGTGAATCCCCTCCCCTCCTTCATGTACCTGGTGAACTCCTGTTCATTCTTCAAGGTTCCAGCTCTAGGACTCCCTCCTCCCCACCCCTCCGCCCCCTGCCCTCAGACCCAGCTCCTCCGCCACCCCGGGCTTTACCTATGCCCTCCTGCCCTCCAGGGGATGGCGGCATCTGTGTCCTGCTCTGTCCCCTCCCTAGACTGGGAGCTCCCCAGGGGCCAGGCATCATCCAGCATGGGGTGGGCACAGAAGGGGTGACATGGGAGGTTTTGTTGACTTAGGAAGGGGCTGAAGGAGTTGAGATGCCCAGCCCAGAAGGGCCACCACAGGAGCCTAGACCACTCTCTTCAGTACCATTTTTGGAGCCTGGGGTCCAGAAAAGAACCTGGGGCAAAGGTAGGGGCTTTAAGAGGGGGACTAACTCCTCCCCTGACCCAGCTGAGAAAGGGTTTTCTGCTGGAATGAATACTCTATGAGATGCTGAGCTCCCCATCTCAAGGATCAACCCATGGACTGGACACACATTTTGCTAGGCAGGAAGTCCAGAGTCTACTACTCTGCTGATACAGCAGTTGACAGAGCGCCTACTATGTGCCAATACCTTTCTGAAGCCCCCATGTCTTCAAAGGAGCCCACTCAGCAAGGAGAAAGTGGGGCCCTGGCTTCAGGGTCCTCCAGCCACATGGCAGGACCAGCCCCAAGGTGTCCTGCACGAAAAGGGGGACAGGACAGTTGAAGAGACCATTCCCACGGCCTTGCAGAGGGCAGCCACACAGTTCCCAAATGGTGGGGGTAGGGGATGCTTGACCTCTCCCCCTGGCCCTGCTGGCTGCCTTGGCTGGGGACTGCATTTCTCCTCCATGAGTCAGTCCCCAGGGATTGGGGACCTGGGGCCAGACCAATACACAGCTGCTGGGCTCAGGCCTGCTGACCAGGAACCTGAGAAGATGCCCTGGGCTTCTCTGCTGGGACCACGGTCCCGCCCTCTGCATGGAAGCTAAGCTGGGGCCAGGCCTTGCTGCCCAGGCAGTGAGCCGTGCCAGACCCAGCAGTAGTGAGGGTGGGTCCTTGGCAAGAGTGG